AATGCCCTGGTGAAAGCCACCTTCTATGTGTGTAAAGCCATGCAGGCCTCGCTGTCTGGGAAGGCAGATGGACAGCAGAGCTCTCTGGGTCACTGCGAGAGGGCCAGCAGTCACTTGTGGAACAGCCTCAACATGAGCAGTGGCGTCTCCAGCACTGTCCTCAACAATGTAAGAGCTATAAGCCCCGGGATAACACTTAGTCTGGTTTTAGTTGTGAGGCTGGTCTTGCTGCAGGCGTATCTGCATTCTCCATCTATCCTGTGCCCCATGGAAGTAGAAGGGAAACTTCCTCCCTTTCCTTCCAAAGGGCATTGACATCTTTCTGCCCCTGCTGTATGGAGGAGCAGAGCTGCAAGTACACTGCCATTTCCCTGGGCATGGTCTCAAATAGCTGAGCTCCTGCTCCTCTCCTGCCAGTACCTGTCACCCCTTTTGGTCCTTCGACCACTTTGAGCTTGGTCCATGGAAAGCATCCATCTCTGTCCTCCAAATGAAGCTGCTGACACCTGTAAAGCAGGACCTCATTAAGTCAAGTCTGCTCTGTTTTAGGTAGCACTCATGAGTGTTTGAACCCTCTACCGTGAAAGTGGGACTGTGCCGTGCTATTCCTGAGTTTGTGTGGGGCTTGTTTCTCTTGTTTCCAGGATTACCTAAAGCTGGAGGTTCCCTGCATGGCATGTGCTACACTGTTCCAGTCCCTTCTGTCACTCCTGGGTGGCAGCTGTAGTGCATTGTAGTTGCATTGCATGTTGTGGCAGTAACTGCAATGTTTCTGCAGTGCAGTACAGAGGCACTCTCTGCTTCGGCAGCATGGGTAGCAACTGGACAGCGAGGGATGCTGGGGGGCAGCAGCAGATGGGGAAAAGGGATGTGGGCAGCCACTGTGGGCTGTGTCAAGACTGCCTTTTTTTTCTTTTTTTTCCTCTGCAGGTAGCAAGGCTGTCTTTGCTGTTTCCTGCTAGTTAGTACCACTGTTTGGGCAGGAAAGCTTCTGCAGAAGGCTGGGGCATTGCTGGTGCAATATCCCTGTGGCAAATCTTGTCTGGAGTGGGGTTGGCGTCAGCCTTGTGGAGGTGTTGGCCCTCCTGGAGGGGACAGACACTCCTTGGGCACAGCCTGGTGCTTGTTCCTTAGGCTGGACCTCTTGGTGCCGGGCCCCAGAGATGCCAGTTGGGCAAAAGGCAAAGTCCTGTTCCCTTCGGTGCATCGTGGTGGGGCGAGTCAGCTGGGAGGGGCTGGAGAGCCCTGCGGGGTGGGCAGGAGGTGCTGCAGCTGCCCTCCCGTGGGCCATGTCGGCAGCTGCGTAGCAAATGGCCTGTTACTCGCCTGATGGCTTGTGTTAATAAGCGTGTGTGCCCGGGCCCCCTGGCTCTTGCAGATGATCCAGCTGCTGGCCTGTGACTTG